AAAAAAAAAAAAAAAAGTAACTATCCTACACAGTGGTGGGAGTGAGAAGTCGTCCATCCTCTTGGCAAACTGTATAGAGGATCCTCAGACTACTGAAAAAACCTAAGACCCAGCATTCCACTCCTAGGGACCTACCTAAAACACAGATATATTAATTCCTAGGATACCTGCACGTCTGCTTACTGCAAAGTTGACTGGCTCAAGGAGATGTGGTGTATATACAGTGGAATACTAGACAGGAATCAAAAAAGATAAATTCATGCCATTCACAGCAACAAGGGTAGAGCTAAAGGGGGATTATGGTCAGTGAAATAACACAGAAGGAAAAAGAAAAATATATATGGTTTCACACATATAAGGACACAGGGGAATCAAATAGGCATCAGGGGAAAATAATGAAAAACACAACAACACAAAACTTAACAGACATCTATGAAACAGATTCTGCAGGGGGAGGGGAGAGAGAGGGGTCGAAAGGAGGGAGGGGAGAGCACAGGATCTATAGTGATGGTTCAGGGGTGAACAAGGTTGGGAATTGGATGTGCAAATATCTGAGAAAAGAAAGCAAACAGAAAAAGAAGGATTGTGATGCAATTAGGTATAAATAAAATATTTTAAAATACAACATTAACCAACTAAATCAAAATTAGTTGTTTTTTTAATTATAAACTTATGCTTGCAAAAATATCTATGTGATTTACTACAGTCCACTGTATAATATATGTTTTGTAGCATCACACAGTGACCAGGTGAATATTCTTTTACCCTGAAATAAAGAAAAATGCATAAATCTTGCGTTTTATAATGTGGGGGCAAATCAAGAAACAATAGTGTAGTCTATTAAAATCTATTTTCAAAAGAGATGGAGACATTTTTCATAAATATTTGTAAAAGTTGGGAGTTAGACAAACTGAGCTGTCCTTTCTCGATATTTATCATTTTCATTCACATTCAACACCATTCTTCATGTCTATAATTGAAATCAAATGCACTAATGTGATTCTTCCTATGTTCCTTTACACCTTTCTTCTCATCTATGATGGTATTTAAATAAAACTTACTGTAATTGAGAAGTTGACCTGTTTACCAGCGTCCATGGCTGACCGTGGCCATTTCGATAGACTCCAATCCATGAAAATATTGCTATGCTTTGCAAAACTCTCTATTCAAACAAAAAGAAATTTCACTTATATAGGCATGATGAAAGGCTTCATTTAAAGTAAAATTAGTGATGTCTTTCACAAGCTCCTCATTTTTCAGAACACAGAGACACCGAGACTCAAGCTGACACAGGCCCCACAGGGAGCCGAGCACCATGTCAGAGCCCACAGCTCCCTCCGGCCCCCCTCAGTCCCGCTCTGACCTGGCTCCTGCACACTGATAC